CTTTAGTATTTATATATAAAGATCTGTTGTACCTATATAAAAATTTCTAGTATCTATATGTAAACATGATTCCCATTCCTTGGACAGAATGGAGTTACCTGACTTTTCACAAAGTTTTTCTCTGATCAAAACATGCTTGACCACTTGATCTTTGCTAGTAATGTACCATTATCTTATTATCAATATAATAAAAGGGCATGTCTGTGTGTATGTGTGCATTTAACCACCATAGCTCCAAGAGGAAATAACCTAGAAACCTGAAATTTTGCACCCATACTAAGTGGACCCTAAGGGTGTGCATTTGGGTATTATTACTTATCCACATGCGCGTGTGCATCTTTTTTACGAAGCAAGATAGCGAAAAACCACATACAAAAGAAGTAATTCCTTATATCACAAATAGAAATCACAGACATACACACACACACACACGTGCATGCATGCATGCACATCTTTTCAATGATGCAAGCAACCGAAAAACCACGTATAAAAGATGTGGTTCCTTATATAACAACTTCTAATATATATAAAATCCGGTGTGTTTTGATAACAATGGCTTTTATGACATGTTGATTAGCAACATAAGTATATAGGTTATACTTTTATGCTAAAATGGGTTCAGAATACACAAAATGACATAGTCATCTAAAATATATCAACCTAATAACCCGAGCAATGCAGGGTACTATCACTAGTCCATAATAATAAAAGGGCATGTCTGTTTGTCTGTGTGTGACCATCATAGCTCCAACAGGAAAGAACCCAGAAACCTGAAATTTTGCACGCATACTAAGTGTACCCTGAAGGTGTGCACCTGGGTATTACTTATCTTATCCATATGCATGTGTACAAGAGTTTGCATATCTTTTTAATGAGGCAAGCTAGTAAAAAAACGCATAAAAAAAGTGGTTCCTTATATTACAACTAGAAATCACAGAGCATGCGCTCATTTTTTTTAATGAGGCAAGCTAGCGAAAAACCATATAGAAAGGAAATAGTTCTTAGAAATAGACTTAGTTGAGAGTTCTAAGTTTCATTGTTTGTTTAGAAATAGACTTAGTTGAGGGTTCTAAGTTTCATAGACTTAGACAATGCATTCCAACAATAACTTTTGTGTACAATAAAATATGAAATTGTAAAACATTTCTCATATATTAATAGTTTCATTTTGAGTTTACTTACTAATTAAGTATATTTTATTACAAGTTACAGCTTTTACAGTAAAATGTTTTTAGAACAGGTACGGTGTTTCAATCACTGGTGTGATCGAATACTTGAAAATGTAACTTGTAATACAATAAAAAGTATTCACATGTTTTTTAACAAAGACAAGACAGGCTGTATGTTAAGATGCACAGTTTGTTGAAATGTTCAGTCTGACAGTGACAGTGCATAACATTAGTATTACACCACTCAACTGACTCAAGTGTAAAGTCTTGACATTGATAGTACATAATCTGGAGGCTGATTCATTGTAACAAGATGTATTATTACAAGTTCCTTCTATAACTACTGACCTAGGGATTGTTTCATTAGCAACACTAAAAAAGTAACAAGATGTATTATTATTATAGGTTCCTTCTATAACTACTGACTTGGGGACTGTTTCATTAATATAGTAAAACAGTGTAATAATGCAACAGTGTCTATGTTTGTCAGACAATTTAGAAAATAAAGTGTCCTTTGAACATACACAAATGTGCAGTTAAAATCAAAAACTGCACTTTATGATGTGTAGTAAAACATTCTGTTAACTATAACCACAGCCTCCTATGGGATAAGATCAAATTAATTTCATCATGTGTAATAAAACATGCTGTTAACTATAACTACACCTTCATATGGGATGTGATCAAATTAATCATGTGTAGTAAAAAATGCTGTTAACTATACTCACAGCCTCCTATGGGATAAGATCAAATTAATCATGTGTAATAAAACATGCTGTTAAGTATAACTACAACTTCATATGGGATGTGATCAAATTAATCATGTGTAGTAAAAAATGCTGTTAACTATAATCACAGCCTCCAATGGGATAAGATCAAATTAATCATGTGTAGTAAAACATGCTGTTAACTATAATCACAGCCTCCTATGGGATAAGATCAAATTAATCATGTGTAGTAAAACATGC